CTGTTGGGCGTAAAACCCAACCAAACAAACAGAAAATAAACATACAGCATACAGGAAGAAACATATACATTTGTAATTTGATGATTATGACTTCCTATATAGTTCTCTGTATGAAATAATGCATTCCATGGGCAGCCTTTAAAGTTCCTGAAATTTAGTTACTTCCTTAAATGCTTGATTGTCAAAATTATGGAAATATTTCCTTCAACATATTGTTGTATCTTTGTCTAGTGTATGTTAGATGTTCAAAAATAGTTATTTGTCTAAGTTGATTTTATAGAAAAACAAGGTTAGCTCTAAATGTATATTTTGATCAGTTATTAACCAACTTTGCAATGATTCACCCACCTTATAGTTAAAAAACAAAAACTTGTGTCATGCAAAATATTTAGATAGAACAAGTATTTTAAATTTAAACAACTTTTACAGCTAACATTTAAAATGTTTGAAAAGAATAAGCATGTGTAAAAAACAAAATAAGTAGGTGTAAAAAGTCAAAACAACACATAAATGTCTAGTTTTTGCCTAAATAGCTTCATAATGCAGGGAAGAACATCTTAGGTGTCCATCCAACAATAAAGCTAGAAAGTCACCATATGACCTTTCAGTATTGGTGTGACTTAAAATCAAACCAAACAAAATCTTTATATCAGAAGTTATATATAGAACATGCCAGAAAAATATGAAACATTCATACTGAGGTCAATATTACAATTAAGTGTACATAATTTTAGGTATCTGGAAAAATGATATTAGCTTTTAAAGTTTAAGGGGGAAAAAACCTTTTTAATTTACAATATGATATGAATAAAACACAATTTATTTCCATGTACAATAAAAAAAGAAAAGGGAGGTAATAATTCATTATTGCAATTTTTAATTTGTTATACTCGTTTAGGTTGGTGGCCAAGGAGGATTTAATATGTAAGCCCTTGCATGACTATGTTCTACCAAAGGAGGATTGTCTCAGTGATGAATGGAAATTATTCGAGCTTGACATGAAAACTGTAACAGTGCAATATCTGGAGGAAATTATCTGTGATTTTAAATTTAGTATTAAGAAAACAGGAACCATGCATGGATTTTGTGCCTGGTTTGAAGTTGGGTTCGGTACATCTGATCCAAATGGAGAACAAGTCTTACTCAATACAGGGCCTTTACATGAGTAAGTGAAACCAGATATCTCCCCTTTATACTTTTAAAATTATTTGCAGGTTACCAACTTTTGTAGGCTTGATATATTGCTGACTGTAGATAAATATATTTGATTTGCTTACTTACGTACTTACAATGATTCTGTAAAGTTATAATTAGTTAACCTATTTTAATGCAAATTTGGTAACTGACAATAATCAGCATCAAGTACATGTTCTGTTTACCAGAAACATTCAGGTTTTTCTTTTTCTTTGCTTTTAGTTAGTATTGAACTTTACATAAAATCATTGAAATACTTACTATACAAAGTTATAATCAAGAAAACTATTGCTAGGCAATTTATTTAGTGGACAAACAGTTAAACTGCAAGATTTTGTTTGGTAACTGTTAGTCTCAGTATGTGATAAATAAGGTTGAGTCAGAGCTTAAGTTGTCAAATAAAATCAGAAAACATACAGGAAAAATTTAACCACTCTCAAACAAATTTTCTAGTAAACGTATAAATAGGAAAATAGGAATGTACAGTCTTTGAATTTTCTTACACTTTCAAATTGTTTTAATAATTATTGTGGAATTTTACAGATTAACTCACTGGAAACAGGATTTATTTTTACTGGATACACCTGTAGAGGTGGTACAGGGCGGCACAGTTGTTGGAAGTATAGTATTATCAAGAAATCCAGAATATAGACGACATATTAGAGCAGAGTTTAAGTTTATGGTAACTTCAGGAAATGAAATTGTAAGTACATAACCCCTAACCTGCTGGCTCTGGAAATGATTATACTTTACTGTATCCCAGTATAGAGCCAAGCCTGACTGCCTTTTCCTTGCAGTGTGACCAGACTCTATACTATTGATTAATGATCATATCCTTCTTGTGGCTAAGTGGTTGCCTTTGACAGTAGAGGCATCAAAATTGCAGCCACTGTTTATCCCTGCATGATCATAAGAGGGAATTAAATTGGTTCAAATTTCTGGAGTCTATGCATCTCTTAGCTCCAACAGGCAACAACAAAGATTGTGTTGATCTATATTTATTTGTTTTTACCATGTAATGGCCGGGGCATATAGTGTTACCCTGTTCCGTCATTCCGTCCTTTCGTCCTTCAGTCCTTCCGTCATTCTGTCATTCCGTCATCATCAGTTTCCGTTCATTATCTTAAGAACGGTTGCACACATTCAACTCAAATTGGACATATGGATATGTCATGAGAAAATACAGGTCAAGTTCGAATTTGATCATGGTTCGATGATTTTTGGCAGAGTTATGCCCCTTTTACTTTGAAAATAATATGAAATTTTCAGTTTCCGTTCATTATCTCCCCAACGGTACAACACATTCAACTCAAACTTGACATATTGATATGTCATGAGAAAATACAGGTCAAGTTCGAATTTGGTCGTGGTTCGATGATTTTTGGCAGAGTAATGCCCCTTTTACTTTGAAAATAATATGAAATTTTCAGTTTCCGTTCATTATCTCCCCAAAGGTACAACACATTCAACTCAAACTTAACATATGGATCGTCAAAGGAATGCGCATGTCAAGTTCAAATTTGGTCATGGTTCGATGATTTTTGGCAGAGTTATGCCCCTTTTACTTTGAAAATAATATGAAATTTTCAGTTTCCGTTCATTATCTCCCCAACGGTACAACACATTCAACTCAAACTTGACATATTGATGCGTCAAAGGAATGCACAGGTCAAGTTCAAATTTGGTCATGGTTCAATGATTTTTGGCAGAGTTATGCCCCTTTCACTTTGAAAGTAATATGAAATTTCAGTTTCCGTTTATTATCTCCCAAATGGTACAACACATTCAACTCAAATTTGACATATGGATATGTTTTTGGAATGCCCAGGTCAAGTTCGAATTTGGTCGTGGTTCAATGATTTTTGGCAGAGTAATGCCCCTTTCACTTTGAAAATAATATGAAATTTACAGTTTCTGTTCATTATCTACCCAACAGTGTTACAGATATGTCAAAGGAATGGGCAGGTCAAGTTGGAATTTGGTCATGGTTTGATTATTTTTTGGCAGAGTTAGGTCCCTTTCACTTTGAAAATAATATAGATACATCTTAGGAATAAGCAGTTTAAGTTTGAATTTGGTTGTGGTTCAATGATTTTAGACAATTTACTTATCTTTCCTGAATGTTGGAAAAATTTTGAACTTTCAGTTTCAGCACTCATACTTTTAGCCATTATTTTGGCTACAAATATGCAATATGCTATTTTTAAAAGGTTAAGACTGAATAATTTCAGTGCCTTGAACATTGTATGAAAATGGTTTGTGTTAATATTGAAAAGTTTTAAGGGCTTTGAACTTAAAATGAAAAAAATAATTAATGCACCATCTGAAATTTTGGCTGCATGCGGGGGCATCCGTGGCATGATGACACATTTCTAGTTTTAAATATGTTTGTTTATTTTGTGGTTACTTAAATCAACACCAGCACTGTAATGGTTGAATGGCAGCTTTCCAGCTTTACTTATGAGGAAGATCTCAGATGTCCCATTTCAGACACCAGGGGGCATTTGTATAGAAGAACCACTGACCTTCTGATAGCTTCCTCACATGAAAGATTCATAAGTCCCTGACAGGATTCGAACCCATAAGGGTGAGGGTCAAGTGATTTGAAGTGCATGACCGTAACCACTTGTCCACGGAGCCTAGTTGTACTACTTAGTGTGTATATAAAATCATGTTTCAAATATTTTATATGTTTCTCTTTGTATAAAATTTAAACTTTAAATGTTTCACAGCTTTGAGCAACAACTTGCATGTTTCTCTGTACTGCAAATTATAACAGATAAAATTCTATTTGTTTTCAGTGTAGTAAACACAAGAAAAAGTTCTTCATATGGAGATAAGTTTCTCTGTACATTGACCTGATCATTGTGAGATATCATAAGACGTTAACTTATAGATAACTAGCAGTTGTCAAACCAGGCGTACAAGACGTATAATGCAGCTCACAACTTCTCGGTTCATTCAGTCAGTCTTCGGAAAAGGACCTTGAACAATACATTTACCACTTTGGCATTGTATCTCAGTTAACAATCATTGAAAATATATAACATGTAAACAAATAAGAAATAAATGCTTGAACTAAATTGCCCATTTAATCTTTTTATATCTTGTTTAAACATATTTTTTTGCAAATTCAAAGATATTAAAGTAAAATTATCAATACTTATTGACATTATAATACCCCCACAAGCGAAGTTTACGGGTATGGGGGTATATAGGAGTCAACTTGTCGGTCGATCAGTCCATTTCTTGCTTTCCCAATGTTTACTAGAGTTTTAAAACTTGATATACAGCAACTCCATGTGAGATTGCTTTGGGACCCCTGAGATCAAGGTCACTATAACTAAAAATAGAGAAATGGTTTCCAAACAACAACTAGAGTAAGAAATATATTCTAATCAAACTTGGTATTTAGCAAGCTTATATGAAGTCCCAGGTTGGGATTACTTTTGGACCCCCTTGGTTTAAGGTAGAGGTCACTGCGACTTATAATCTGGAAGATACTAGAGTGAAGAATGATAAATTGTATTTAAACTTTGCATATAGAAAGTTCATGAAGAGACCTAGTTTGGGATTGCTGTTGGATCCCTTGGTTTAAGGTCAAGGTTACTGTTACTTAAAATAGAAAAATATTTCCATACATTTTATTTACTAAGATACTACATGTATAGTCTTAACAAGGTAATTTATTGTAATAAATATTGTGGTACACAGATGAAACGTTGAAATATTGTTTTGACCACTTTTTAAAATGTTTAGCTGGAGGGTCGGGTATGAATCACCGTTAGTGATAGGTCAAATTTACGTTTAATGTTTTCATCAAACTGTAACTAACAGTTATCATAGGAAAAATATGACAGATTATCAAAAAAATTCCATCTCTCATGCATGAACCTTAGGTACATATGCTTTTATATTCTTTTGAAATTAATGTTGGTTGCGATTGAAAAGTCAATTAAGACCGCTTTTAAGTTTATTTGCATTGCACTGCCTCAAAACAAGACGAGTTTTAAACAGCCATTGAACTGTGTTTTATTTTATTCTGTAACCTGATTGGAACTGAAGTCTTTACTTTTGCCGTCAGGTATAGTGCCTAGTCAGCTCACTCTTCCATGCAGTCTGACTTAAATACATTTACATATATACTGATGGTAGTTCAATTATTTGTATTTTATATTAATTAAAATCACTTATAATTTGAATGAATTGTTCCAATTTAAAAGAAAGGGCAAAGAGATTTTGAAAATTCAGGAAAAAAATTGAAAAAGAATACGATGGAATGACCACTGGTTGTATGTATGTATTCAAGGCTTAAATAGAGTACAAACCCCGGACATTTTACCATTTGGCATTCATGTCCATATAGGTTATGATCTGCCAAAAGGTGACCTTTTAGTAAATCACTGGATGATACTAGATAGTAGTGATGTTTACTCTTTTGATACACGGGTAGCCAATGAGACCAATATATGTATCATAAGGGGTTGCTGCCAAAATAAATCACATCTTTCGGACGGGTTTGACTGACTCATAGATTTTTCAACTCGGACGGCTCGTACTAAGTAATCATAGCCAACTTTTCCCTGCTACTTTAAGTTTATAATGTTCTATTCTGCGCCAAGTGAGACAAGTTTCCTAATTTTACCCTTTTTGTTTTAACCATTATATAATCTGTTGGAACTGGAAGTAAGTATATCCGCTGTGAAAGGACTGCCATATCTCGACGATCGATCCTCTAAATAACTAACCAGTAATTACCGATTACTTCGTCTAATCTCACATGATTTCTGAATCAGCGGTTGGAGACAAAGGACCATTAGACTCAATTAGAAATTACGTCTCCCCCGAGGATCGAACCAAGGGCTCATGGATTGCTAACCCGGTGGTCTCTATTAAGCTAAGTGGGCGGGCCTGAAAAGAAATCAAATTGCCTAGGACGAATTTAATTCTTTTTGAATAGCTTATTTTCTTAGGCGTTAGTTCTCGTGTCAGGAGAAAAAAAATACCTGTAAAATCGATAAAATCTTGTCGCTAAATATGAAAGAAAGAAATGAAGACACTTTAGATGCTCAATTTAAAATGTTCGACTAATAAAGTGAACACAAAGCGTTAAAGAAATAAAACGACTAATACCGTTAGCTATAAAATGAATTTCATTTTTAAAAATGATCAATTGATGTAAACTCAAGACTGTATTTCCAGCTTTTTATATCATAGGCAACTTGAAATCTACTTTAGAATTCCATTATTTATGCATATTCTTGAAGAGTTTTATGATTTGTTTCATTTTTTTCCTGTTATACTAACATTAATATAATGATCGTTTTTTGTGTTGTATTTTTACGTGAGTTTCAATAAATTTTTCCCACACTCCACTTGTCAACGAAGTGATCTTGAACATTGAAAAGAGAACAATGTTTCATATCCATTTTAAGGACGCCCTTTGGGATACTTTTTATGCCACCGCAGCATCTGCGATGCGGTGGCATATAGCGATTCACCTGTGTGTGTGTTTGTTTGTGTGTGTGTGTGTTATATAGATTATATAGTGAACTTAAAAAATCTTCTTGTGAAAAACCACTAGTCCAATTTCAACCAAACTTGGCAGGATTGATCCTTGGGTGAAGGGCTTCCAAAGTTGTTGAAAGAATTTCATTCCATGCAGAAATCTGGTTGCCATGGCAACCAAAAGGAATTATTAGAATAAATTTAAAAAATCTTCTTGTAAAGAACCAAAAGGCCTAGAGCTTAGATATTTTGCATAAGGCATTGTCTGGTAGACCTCTACCAAGATTGTTCAAATTATAGCCCTGGGGTCAAAATCGGCCCCGCCCCGGGGTCATTGATTTTCACTATATGTACATATAGCAAAACCTTAAAATACCTTCTTGTAAAGACCCAAAAGGCCTAGAGCTTAGATATTTTGCATAAGGCATTGTCTGGTAGACCATTACCATGATTGTTCAAATTATAGCCCTGGGGTCAAAATCGGCCCCGCCCGGGGATCATTGATTTTCACTATATGTACATATAGTAAAAACTTAAAATACCTTCTTGTAAAGACCCAAAAGGCCTAGAGCTTAGATATTTTGCATAAGGCATTGTCTGGTAGACCTCTACCAAGATTATTCAAATTATAGCCCTGGGATCAGAATCGGCCCCGCCCCGGGGGTCATTGGTTTTCCTTATATGTATATAGGAAAAAAAACTTAAACATGACTTGTAGTAAAAACTTTAAAAAAATTTCTTCTAGTAATTGACAAATGCTAGAGGTTAGATATTTTGCATGAAACATTATGAAATGAACTTCTAGCAAGATTGTTTAAATTATAGCAATGGGGTCAAAATTGCCTTTGCCCCGAGGGTCATTGATTTTCAATATAAACATAATTATAGTAAAAAAATCAAAAAATCTTATTGTCTGAAGGTACAAGGATTAATGCGGTGGCATAGCATTTTTCTCAAATGCAATCTTGTTTAAATATTGCCTTACAACATTAAATGTTATTTAGGGTTTTGTGTCGAATAAGTAGCATAAAACGTGCTTAAAACGTCGTGTGATGGGAGCTTTAATTTGTTTTGCTGTATATCATGAGATCCACTTGAATCTGGCCCGGCACCAGACATGTTTAATAGAGAGTAATAGATATTTCGGAAGGTTTTATTGAAAATCTCCCTTTGATTACATTGTTTCAAGTACAAGTACTTCAATACCTTGTCATAAATATACTTTGTTATATCAGTTGTCTACTTAAAATGTACTAATTTTTAAGCCTGTCTCCTGCTTACGCGCGTATTCGCGTACGAACGCATGTAATATGCCTGCAGAGTAGAAAAAATCCAAAATTAGAGATAATTAAGATAAATGACAGACTTGGTATCTGCGTTTTGATTAAGGTTAAATCACAGGAACTTGATATTTAATCAATAAATCACAACATATACGTATATTAAAGAAATAGTCCTCATCTCCATTAGGTATTTGATTAAAACTCTAGACAGTAAGAACCATTGCACTGTTAATCCGGCGTAGCCAAGGTCAGACATGGCTTTGGGGTAGATAGTAGGTTTTTTTTTTAAGTTTTCGTGTAGATCTTATCATATCTTTCTTGTATCAGTTTGATAACAATTTGTCAATGGTGAGCCGAATGTTAAATTTACAATGGCGTCCAAGATGGCGGATGAATACTAAAAATGCTTTAAATTAATAATGTTTTGGCTCAAAATCGTTCATTATCTGCTTATTTCAAATGTCCGTACGTATAGGCTTAAGACTCCCTGAACAAGGTATTTTCACCTTGCTAAACTTGAAGTGTATATATATCTTCTGGACAAAAAACAAATTGAATTCTAAAACGGAAAACTTTCAAATTGCTTGTATGAAAGAAATATGCAAGTAAATTGCCATAAAAGGGAATGGTATATGCACGAAATCATTGCTAAAAGGTTAAAATATTATTGATAATAGCAGCACGAATATTTTATAGTGTTAACGAACAATATTCATGTGTATTATATAAGAGACAGAGACATTCTATGTAACAACTCTTTCGAGAATCCACCGTCATAAGTATTAAGGAAACAATATAATTATGCTGTTTATATACTTTATAAGAAATAATTCATAAGATAAAGCTTTATACGCTTTAACTCATTTTGGCTTGTTCACGTTTTTAACGATTTGTTTTAAATGACCATAAAGTGATGCAGTTCAACTAGAATTTGTTTAATTTACGTAATCTGCAATATGACTTGTCATTCAGCAAATTATTCACGCCTCTCTCGTTTATGTAAGTTTTCAGCCAATGGCATTATGAACCTTAAACCTTTTCCTTAGGTAAATATAAAATCAGGTACAATTTTATTCCCATTTTTTCAAGCGTATACGATAATGTTTTAGTAGAGCGAAGGGGGGGGGGGAGGAGGGGTTGGGCATGTTCCACACGTTTCTATGTATTTTGGAAACCAAGCTCTGGCAACTACAGAAGAATGGTATAAAAAGACGAACCCGCCAGACATGAGCCAGTGCGTCACAATTCTTCAAGATTTGACACCGTTTAAATAAAACAAGAGGAATAAAGATGATGCGTTATTCAATAACCGTTGTATTGTTGGCGACTTGTCTCTTCAAATCTGGAGGTAAGTTACCTTTTTTTTTTGTTTAAAGTAGATGAATAAGTAAAATTAGTTTGAATTGAAAAAAAAACAGTCACCAAACGCTATGACAAAACAAAGTTTTATTTTTTAAAATTTATTCATTTATTTATTTATTTATTATATTCTGAAAATTGAAGAAATTATGAGATAGATTATAATTTTGTGGTAGCTTTACATCTGATTAAATTGTCGATTGGAAATTGATAAAAGCTTTTAAGAACTCATTTTGTCATTTGGAAAACAAATGAGCACAACAAAAACAAAACCATCAAATCACATTTAATTCCAACAAACTTATTTAAAACATTACATTTGACATGACAGTCATTTATTAAGATGAATATTGCATAACTTATGTTTACGTTTTACCAATACCAACTAATTTTACAAGTTTTGATATAAGTTGTCAGAAAGGGACTAATGTTATGAACATTTGTATTATGCTGTCTAAATATTAATAACATAATTATAAGGATGAATAAAATAAATAAATAGAAATATCAATATCAGTTTGCCTTTTGAAAATGTTATAGGAATCAAACAGGCAGAGAAACACGCTTGTTCGTGTGATTACAAAACTTTACATTCTCTTATAACATTTATGACAAATGGTTAAATATGTTTGGCAAATCGTTGTGCTAAGGATAGGTGAATATTTTTGTGTATAATTTACAATTCACATAGTTTTGCAAAGAAGTCCACTTAGAATACACTTTGGTCATTACCACTAAAGTTTGGAGGTAGAAATAAATTTTCAACATTTTTAATAGCTTAGATAATGAGAATTTATACAGAATTCAACCGACACATCTCATTCTTCCAAAATATAACTTACAAAAGTTTTTATTATTTAATCAGATTTTAGTGATTATGAGATATATTCATTATGCATCATGAAGTATGAAAGCATAAAACATGAGTAAGTGTGAAACGTTTTCTTTAAAAAAAAAAATGTGATGATTTAATTTTGGGGGGATCTGTCAAGTTATGTATACAAATGTTTAACATACAAATGTTTAACCAAAGACAAAAAATGAAAGTTTTGGTGGATTATAAGAAAAGTTCACATCATTGTATTTTTTTTAAATTGATAGGTATTAAAAAGCTCATCATGTTGATAAAAAGGATCAACATAGTGCAAAAAATTGTCTAAGAAAGAAAGGCGAGTCTACGCTGCCATTAATTATTATTGAAATGGTCATACCTAATGTTGATTGAAAATAAAACGATTGATTCTCTGGCTGAAAAATTAAGCCTTCTAAGCGGCGGAAAAGTTTTGTGTTAGGTAATTATATCAAAGCCAAAGATGAATCACTTTTTCCCTTCAAATATTAACAGCAGACATTCCTTCATTTACTTCTTACTCTTTAAGCATTGAGATCTACATATTTGAAAAAAAATATCATTGTGACATTGTACTGTTGATTTGCTATAATGTTATCATTTATAATAGATGCACAAATCACCGGCTGGACTAAACCAAGTACAATAGCCACTGCTACTGGAACTGCGACGGGGATCTCCAAAGCTGAGGATACAGCTGTCGGTGAAACAATAGCAGAATTTGAGGCTACCCCCACTGCTTCTGATACCATTGCTAGTTACAAATTGTTAACAACAGGCATGCCTTTTTCTCTGTCCTCACCTGGCGGAGTATTGACGTTGGCCTCTGCGCTGGATTTTGAAACTAAATCTAGTTATGTTATTGAAGTAAAGTAAGTATCATTTTTCCACTGTACTTAAAGTAAAAATAGAAGAAGAAAAAATAATCTAAAGCTTATAGGTTTAAAGCCAATGTTATTTGTCAATTACTTTAATACATGCATATTTTATGCCATGCGAATGTACAACGTTATTATTAGTTATATACCTGTTCTTCTCCACAGATGATCTTGAATTTCTTAAATAATTTCTCCTTTATCGTTGTCGGAAATAATTCTTTTAATTATTTTGTCGACATGGAAACATTCATTTTCGTAATAAATAAATTGTCAGTTATACTCTTTATTTAAGCAAGAATTCTTAAAGTGACAAAATGCTCATTTTTTGTTGCCAAGTTGAGTTGAATTGGTAACATATTTTAAGAGATTGACTATTGTAATGTTGATGCCAATAATGGATAATGAAACATATTTAGGATAAAAAATAAAAACGATGAAAAGACTGCCCAACTCTATTTAAAAATTGAACATTACCAATACATTCCGAACTATATTTATAGAAATGTCAGTGGGTCACGTTTATTAAAATGAACACAATTAAGGCAAAATAAACGCAAAGTTATTTTGACTTCGACCTGCCCATTCTTCATTTACACTTCGATTGGCATAGTGTCATAATAACACAAATAAGTGCCTTTGTAGAAAAAGTCATGGTATTATAATCAAAAATTGTATACTTGCTAGAATGTTAGTTTATAGAGTTTAATAATTTTAAACCGGAATAGACTATACATTCGTGGTATCAAGGTTGATATCAATACAAGGCTTGAAGGAGTACATTATTTTAATAATCAGATCACATTTATTTATACGACATTTGTAGCAATTTAACTTAGAGTTTTATCTTTAGGAGAAGTATATGCTCATTTCAGTATGCATTTATTATGAGCAGCTAAGCAATTAAGATTCTTTTTTTAAGATACATGTACTACTTTTAATGGCGGTATTTATAGCATAAATCAACCAAAATGATATTAATTTTCCTCTTAACCCATCTGAATTTTTCAATGAACTTGTCTAGCCTCCATTTTTGGAACTGTTTAATACGAGAAGTATTCCTTCCCATTTTTGTTCTGCTTCTTTGGGCCTTTCTCTATCCCTACAATGCCCGTACACTCCAATAGTTGAAAATTTGTTTTTAAAAATCTAACGTGTTATTTATTGCAATGAATATCTGATCCGCCCACTTCGTGCGTCTCCCATTTTACCCGTCCTGTAGTCCTGTACAGCGAGATGATATCGCGGATTATGTTCGATTACTAAATTTTGGGCTCAGATTTTGTAACTTATGCAAACACTAATATAACACAAATTTTAAATATTGTTTTCATATAGTTTGCACACAATGCAAACTTTTTAGTGCTATATTCAGCTTAAGCCGATGGGCATGGACGGTTGCTTGCATTGTCCATGAACAGGCTCAATCAAACCAATTACAATATTTTCAATTTTGACGCTTTTGGCTCCTTAGGGGTTTTCTTGTTTTTTACTAAGGAAATTGTATCCGTCGTTTATTCATTCTTTCTAAGCAAGCATATATATTCTAAGCAAACATATATATTCTGTCTACCTTTTTAGAGCAACTGACAGTAAGGATACTGCGACTTCCGGCACTGCAACACTAACTATTACAGTAACTGATGTTATTGAAGAAGCACCAGAATTTGGACAAACATCCTATACTGTTTGCGTAGTTGATGGTTCAGCTGCAGGTTTGTTCTTCCGTTGCAAGGTGGGAAATCGTATTCTGCTAAAAGGATTATTTTTCAAATTTTTATACAATTTTGTTGAAATTCAAAAATAATAAAATGTGGCTGTCAAATAACCCAGACCCTGACAAGTCGATGAAGTAGTACTCAGCAATTTGTCTTGAAGTACTATAGAAATCGCAATCAGCAGGGTATTGGTTAATTACAAGGCACATTATTAAAATTTAAAGCTACACATTATCTGATTTGCTGTTCATATTATAAAGCTTCAGTTTTGGCCCGATTTCCATTTTTTTTATATAAATTGGTGTTATTCCCTTCTGACGATTTATTTATAATTCATATTAAAATGAATTCAAATGATTTCTTGTTTGACAATTTCAGCATGGAAGCAAGTTTTTAAAATTTAAAATTCCATTGTATAATTAAACATGCTAAACATAGTAGTGCGTATCTTTTAACGTTGGAATTGGTAAGATATGTGTGGACAGCATATTAATTATAATATTATAATTATAATAATATAAATACTTGAGTTAGTAGATCTAATAGACTTTCATAAAGATTATTTTCTTTTGGTAAAAGTATCCATTTATTATTATAATAATATTAATACTTGAGTAAGTAAATCTAATAGACTTTCATAAAGATTTTTGTTCGGTAAAAGTATCCATTTATAATTATTATAATATTAATACTTGAGTTAGTAGATCTAATAGACTTTCATTAAAGATTTTATTTTGGTATAGGTATCCATTTATAATTACACATGTATAATAATATAAATACTTGGGTTAGTAGATTTAATATACTTTCATAAAGATTTTTTTGGGGGTAAAAGTATCCATTTATTTTTGTCTATTACATGTTTTTTTAACGATTATTTTACGATTTTATTTACACAATCTGCATTAAATCCAGCATTTCTCTTTTGTTTTGATTTCAGATACGTCTGTAACAACTTTCTCTGCTTCTGATAAAAACACAGCCGATACCATCACCTACACGATAAGTTGTAAATATTTTACTTCTTTTTGGTTTATGTCATACGGACACTAATGATATAGATATAAATGATACCAGTTTCCAATTCGTCCATTATTTACGGTATGATAGAGGACTCGCGTAAAACTACCTAACTCCCGTTAGCTAGCTGGATAGCTTCATAACATAAATAGTCTAATGTTCCTGTTTAGATTCTAGCACAAAGCTGTGAGGGACTAGTTATCCTAAGTCTTTTACCTTAACCACTCGGTCAGAGAGGTCCAATATATCTTTCCTTGTTGCTGTGAAATCCACAACTAGTGTTCATCCTTGCTATAAAATGAAACATCAATGAACGAACTTAAACAGTCAAAATGATCGACTGTTCTTGTTATACTTTAAAAAGTTAACATTCTAAACAACGTAGTCAAAATAATTTGTGGCGATTATAACTTGAGATTTTTCTTGATGTACAATAAAATTCTGTTAGTATAACTTGAGTAAAATCTCAATATGGGGTCGCAATTATCGTACCAGAATTAACTAGCCTTAGCGTTATTCTCTTAACATGAAAACTACTTAAGTAAGTGCTTAATTCCGACATTAAATTCTGACACTGAATTCTGACACTAACTTCTGACGCTGAATTCTGACATTTAATCCCGACAGCTGATAAGACTTGTTTTGTTTAGAATACAGATTTACAAGTCGATTTACCAGTAAAACTTTAAAAAGGTTTCATTCGAGACATTTACGCAATGTTTCAGATTGGATTGCTATGTTTTCATTTATTTCAAAAGTTTCTTTTTTCTCCATTTCAAGAAATAGCATCAACTACGCGCAAACAAGTCATTCTTATAAATATAATATACATGTGTCTGTTTTTTATCAACTAAAATGATTTTTGATATAAGGAGTTTTGAATCTTAACGAAGAAGCAAATGAGATTTGTAAAATGAAGTGTTACCAGCTGTAGGTTTTACTTTAGCTTGGTCATATGATTAATATCTTACTTCGGATGCAAATATGAAATATTTAATTTAATTTATATTACTAAATCAAAATATTTTAGCTGGAGACACAAACAGTGACTTCAAAATTTCGACAGCTGAGCTCCAGGTCAATACTGGGAAAACCCTTGATATGGCTAAAACAGCGAAGTATACACTTGTCGTATATGCCACGGATAATGGAAGTCCGGTAAAAACCGGAACAGCTACTTACACTATCAACGTCCAGTCGTCATGTAACGGAGCAGCAGCTTTGACCGTGACATTGATGGCACTTTTAATAGCACTCTTAGTGTCTTTAAACTGATTCTCTGATGCTTCATTCAAATGACTTTATCTTTATCTTGCTTGTAACATCTCTTAGTTGCTTTTATATATGTTATCTTTTATTAATTAAATGGACCATCGTGTACAAATTAACGATTAATTCAAGTACTAACACAACAAGTCATGAAGAATAATTAACAAATGTAATTGCTCCTATCCCTTTTTGCGTTTTCTTTGAAATATACATTGTATATGGAAAATTAGTACTTAGGTGAGATGACTCGCTCTGAATGTTAAAGCAAGATCATATACCACGTATAAAATTTTTAAAAGCTTTCGTGAAAGTATGTGTTAATCAACTGACATTTTCCTGAAGTTAAGGACATGCTAGTTACTTGACAAAAGATTCTTTTTTATATATATAGAGGAATAGATTTCCGCGTTTATACGTGTTATATATCAATAAAAATTGATGATGAAATAATTATGAACTGCACCTCAATGCAGCATGAGATTCCGTAAAATGACGTCTCATACCACATGGTATGTCCACACACTGACTTACTAATAAAAGAAACGTAAGAGAATAAGAATGAAAATCTATTCAACGCTTGGAGTCAATAATGAAATTTGAAGTTTAAGATCAAGTGTGTGACGCCTAATTTTTAATATGAAATATTTTTATCGCATATAGAAAGTGTTCTCCTTTTGTGGTGAATGTGTATTTTAGGCATGTTCCTTTAATTATAGTGATTGCCGTGAGGCAAAGGATTGTCACGTCCAGAGAATCTACTCCCTTACGTACTGACTGTGTGATATGTTTGTGTTTATTTCTATCTGTGAAATGATATCAGTGATGAGATACTACCGTATCGATGTTTGATTCATTTCATTCTTATCTTAAAATATTTATTGTTACGATTTTTTCTATTGAAACATGTAGCACTTTCAGACGGACAATAATTTGTTCACAATATATTATTCAACTTGTTATGAAATGTTATGTTGTTAATCAATTTGTTTTGCTTTTTTATTTCTAAGGACTTCAAGTGTTATTTATGGGTTAATCAAATAACGCAAAGTTACTCGAAAAAATGAATTCGTGATTATAATTTCTTTTTATTCTTGATTGAATTGAGTATGGTTACTTTATAGATTGCAACAAACAAGTAATATTTCGTCAGATATTGTGCTATAAAGATCAAATTGTACATGATTTCAAAATTAAAATTAAAGTAACAAATATATAGTGTTTTTGTTTGTTTGTGTGTTTGTATATTTTTATTCGGTCATATTGAATTAACATCTTTAATTTCTGTAATTTGGCTAGTGCTGCGGAACTTTAGAAATTGCTTATTAGTGAAGGTCAGTGCCATCTTTCGTGCTTGACATTTTCATTCAAATGTCACACCATCAACTGTATCATTTATTGTCGTATAGTGAATCACATTTGAATAGTTTTGCGGCACAAAGAAGTTTATACGTTATAAATGTAAGTTAGATGACTGGTTGGTTGGTTGGCTGGCTAGATGGATTCGTCATAGATTTTACACTGTTGACCATGACACCAACGTAATATATAATTTTGTATACTTATCATGCAAGTTTTTATTCATCACGCTGCAGTCGTCACAAGTCGCATGTTTGCGTTATATCGAGTTTGAGCTTCCTCTTATTTCATTTCTTGCGTTATTGAAATTTGTTTGCACAGTTTGAATGTCCATTTTGATCAGTTATATCCCTTTTATATGTCAATGCGTATATGCATTGGTTCCAGCATGAGAGAGTTAAACTCAAATGTAAATATCTATATGACTTTCTAAGTCTTACAAACTTTGAATTTATCCGGTTAATCTGTTTTGCGAAGGTTGCAATAGGCTCTTTGTCTATTGGATTTTTAACATGGCAAATTTTGCGCGTTGATACTAACTTAAATACAAGTTTAATGAAACACAAGTCAATTTAAAACTTCAGCAAGTTGAAGGTTAAACAACAACGTCTGACATGAACAAAATCCGAAAGTAGTCCGAAGTCCTCGAAACGGTTACTTCCCTTTATAAGTACACTAACGCAAACAAATTAAGGGGAGCTCACTGCGTAAAGATTGTCAAATGACAGGCGCATTAATTTTCAAGCCTTCTCAGTGAAGAAAAAATAGTTCCCGGTTGGTCGAAGGTTTCAATAATTATTATTGTGTAATTCTTTACAGATATACATGCTTAATATATTAATTAAGCTCCATGCTTATTTACATCAGTGTTTAACGTGAACAAAATATCTCGAAATTAATACGGTTCACCCTAATTTAGAATAATGTGGTTTTCTTCGTACTGTTTTCTTACCATTCACAGTAGTCGAGGGGTAACACGCTCCGTTTAGGAAGCGAGAGGTCTGGAATTCTAATCCCAGAAAAGGCAATTTATGGTTTTTTTTTAATTGTTTAAGCCAAATAAACATTGAATTGAATATCAGTGCTTCAATCAGCCTTATTGTCAATTTACTACAGTTATAACACTGGAAACAGCATTGATGGCACTGTACAAAAACAAATTGGTTCATAATCTCACAAGCTTCACTTTTCTGACATTCTAGCTGAGACCCAAACAAATTCAGCGCCTTCTGTGCTGTGATTTAATAATTAAATTGCATATGCGTTTAAATATTGTTTGAAGTATTTATTCCAGAAAATCATATCATATAAGCTGCGTTTTCCGAATAAAGTAACGCTTTGACTTGAGTATTATTTGTGCATGTTCCTAAACAAACAAAAACAAACAAACAAACAAACAACCAACAAAAAACACATCTAGAAGAGCATGTTTAGCACAGACGGAAATATAGCTATTTTCCTTACATTTCAGGACGGCTTAAATTAATATCTATAAAGGCATGTGAAAGGATTGAACACTTTTAACAGTGTTTTCAAGTTAATGTTTTTGAACATGTTTTAATCATGCTAATGTGTTAACTTAAGCTTTACTAAGGAAAATCATGTCAACATTCATAGAGTATAAGCTACTATAAGCCTTACATTTCTTGGAACATTTTTTTGTTTTCTCATTGTAAAAGACTATATCATAAATTGTATACAAATTGCACGTTTTTCTTTTTTTTGCATCGTAGACTTGTGAACAATTTATATTTACAATTTTATATAATTGCGTTTTATTTCCTAAGGTATAGTTCTCTATTCAAATACCATGTACCATTAATTCATTAAAGGCCCTTAAATTTGAGCCCCAAAAATGCTAAAATTCATATTTTTCAAAAGCCTGTCATTCTTGATGTTTTGTTTCAGTTTTCTAAATAGAGCTTGAAAGCCAAATAGCAGTCGCCTTTTCCTTTTTATGGCAGTTATTATGATTTAGTTTTTTGAATGGAAGTCATAATTTCCATTTTTTTTACATTTTGCTATATCTATGACATATATTATTTCACTTCAAGCACTTTTCTGCTCAAATGATATGCGCGTATTACGCTTCAGTTCCACAAAACATTACAAAACAATTTTTGTCTTTTTAGAGAAAATTACCTGCTTTTAAAATATATATAAATTTACTGTACAGCGCAAAAGATTATTATATACTTTTCGCTTCTGTTAACTGTTTTTAAAAGCGCTTCAATGTAAGAAACGTTATTTATACTATTGATATTCTATTATCTTGAGTAAATGAAGAATTTGTCTTATCAAAATCACTTAATATACAAGTTGCTGATAGGATAAACGTGACTGACAAAATTTTATTATCTTCGACTAGCGCCTTGGCCTGTTTTACGTTCATCCATGCCATATATTCTCACACTTTATTCGTATACATTTCCTACAATAATTTGTAGGCGATCCAAAAATGGAAGAAAATAGCAAAAAGAAAAGATCTAACTATTTATAGCAATGCTACAAATATCAGCCGGTGTGTTTCTTGAAACGTGGAAATTTCTATAATTAGATATTATCCAATCGGTCCAAGTTAATATATATAACTTGTAAAATCTTTACTTTTATCATACAGTAGGCTAATATTCCTTAAACGGATATAGATTCTATAACATTAAGAAAATATTAAAAAAATTATATCAGGAATTATTATGTATATAATTCATGGGGATGACACTTTGTAATCCAAAGGTAGGCAGACATGTATACATATACAATTTTTTTATTTTTTCGTTTACTTTCGATTTGTTCGTTAGCTTTGCACTTCCGGTTTCGTGTACCAAAACAAATCACCGGTGGGTGTTTCATAATTGATATTTTTGTTGTTTTGTTAATCTCAGTCATTGTGTTTCTTAATAATCCTAGGAAGGTCAGAAAATTAAAAAATGATCTAATTCAGAACTAGTAATTTTCTTTCGTTTCTCTTTCGCAAGATATTACAAACGGCTACCGTAATTTATTCGTCCTCAAATTAAGTCGTACACAGGAGTTTGACATTCTATCAATAATTGAAAAAATACAACATAACGGCAAATATACCCCCCTATATAAATGTTTATTTATTGCTATTAACTGTATTTTTGCTGTTATTTCTTAATCTTAATTGTTTCACTTATATTTTTCAATTATTGATAGAGTGTCAAGCTCCTGTGATTAGTTCAACTAATAAGACTTGTCATTTGAAGAGACATCGTGATAATTTGGGTTTGACAGTATAAAAAACTGTCAGTTAAATGGGTCAAACTGTTCATGTCAAATTAATTAGGCTAGTTCTCTGTTAGTCAAATTAATTTGGTGTGAAATAAATTTCATACTGTCAAAAGTAAAAGAAAAGACATCGCCATGATCGCCAGTCCAAAATTATCTCAATGTATCTTTGACAAGTTTAATTAGTTGGCTTAGTAGTAGGTCAATTCAAAATATGCTTATTGCAGATTTATAGTTTATGCTGCTTTGACAAGTAAAAAAGCATATTTGCACCTAAAATCAAGTTATGAATTCATTATGCTAGTGATTGATTTAATAATAATGATGAGTTTAAAAACTTATAAGAATCTGTTTTATTTTCTCCTCAAAAATCTTATTTTTTGGTGTGGTCACTGGTTCTGAAAATGATCATTTCCAGGTATTAATTTTCTTTCACTGTGACACTATTTACTTACATGTCCTATGGGCACTATTCCTTCCCATGACACTCATGGAAGGGTTAATTGGGTTAGCACTTGGCAGTAACCTGAGATAGCTATATATTTTAATATGAAAGTTGGCCTATGTCAGATAAAAAAATGTTCATTTTTTATTTTACATTTTTCGTTTTAAAAAAAAATTATTCGTTATTTCATGCTTCCCTGCTGTCAATTTAAACACCTTTAGCCAAAAAAAAATGTGATTGTTCCTTTATCTGAATACAGTGCTGATTATCATTGATTTTCATTAAGAATAGTGGCGCCCAACTAGAAATAACACTGAAAATTTACTGATTGGTATAGAAATCTATATATTTTTGAATTGTTTTTTATTTGATTTCCTTTAAACAGGGATGCCAAATTTTCTGCGGATCTGTAGGTCCTCGAACCACTTTTGAGAACGATGTAAATCCGAGGAGAAAATTTGGGGGGTGTGGGTCTCTTTCCCCGAGTTTGCTGTCTTCTATTGTCCGCTGATTGTAAATGTTTAGACCGTACCGTAAATATTAAACTAGACCGTACTGCTATTCGGGTATGTTCAGTTATTGTCGCTATTGTTGTTGTATATCTTCACTGCCTATAAAGGCGAACCTCTGTGTAGTCAACAGAGTATAACGATAATCCTCCACCGAATTATACATGTAGTAAGCCAATGAACGATTGTCGATAGCGTTAAATATACCAACCAATCGTAGCGTCTTTCTGTAGTTGAAGAAAGCAAAACAAAATGTCGGCCGATAAGCAAGAAAGATATTTTTTACATGAATAATGGCAGCAATTAACTCCAACAACGCTTCGAAGATCAAAGACTGTGACAAAAATGTTAAAAATAATTTAATTTGAAATGGTTAGAGAACACAGTAAATGTGAATATCGGATCAACCGAGTCAACCGTCCGCATTGGTGACGATTTCGTCAAATTAAATATCAGTAAATATCAATATCAGTTAATGAAAATATTTGATAAAGCACTAAAAGGAAATGCATTTTAGACCATCTGAAATGGATTAAAACCCAGGAGCTTCCGGAGGCTAAGCCCCCTGGTCCCCCACCAGGGCTCTGCCCTGGACCTGCATGGGGGGCCTACACGGCCCTTGAACCCTCGCATTTAATTTTCCTCTTTTTT